TTGAAGTTTTTGAGTTGGATGAACTGAGTGCGGCCCGAGAGATATGATTCAAACCAGAGGAGGGGTGTGTCAGTGATTCCGATGGAGGTCAGTCTGTCAATGAGGATGCTGTGGGAAATGGTGTCAAAAGCTGCACTAAGATCAAGGAGGATGAGGATTGTTAATAGTCCGTAGTCAGCTGCCATAAGGAGGTCGTTAGTGATTTTAACCTGTTTCTGTGCCGTGATGGGGGCGGAAACCAGATTGAAATTGTTCGTAGAGGTTATTGTCAGACAAGTGGGTATGGATCTGGGATGCAAAAGTTTTTTTCCAGGATTTTACCTAGGGGGTAGGAAGAGGGTCTAACTGACAGGTAGATGTCAGATATTACAGCAGCAGAGGGAAGTGTGAAGCTTGAAAGAGAATGAGAGAGAGGGTCGGTGAAAACAGGGAGAGATATACTGCAGGTGGTGTTAGGAGTTAGTTGCTGGTGAATGTTTTCTATTTTGTCATTACAAAATGACATGAGGGAGTTACAGTAGGCAGTTGAATCATCATTACCAAAAGTACATCAGATCAAATAAGTGTATGATATCGATTTAGGTGATTACCTCCAACTGGTTTTGTCTACTTGGATCACCTTCCAGTTGACGATGCAGGTGCATTTGAACAAGAAAAACACAAGATAATTTATTTCAGGAGTATTTAGCTGGAAGTGTTCAGAACACGAGCACATATTTGACCATTACCATACTTGGTTCTGCACAGTATTTTCCTTCACACCATTCCTCTGGGCCCCATAACAAGTACATGCTGTATTCCCCTAATAACGGCTAATAGGGCAAAACAATTCACACACATAAAGTCCAGTTCTCATAATATGTTCTGCTCTAACAGCCAATACAAGAACATTTCAAACTTTAAAAGCACAACGTGTAGAATTTGTCGACACAACATTCAAAGTTGACCCAGATTCGCTCTTGTTTTTTGTGTTTAATTGTGCTGAATTTGCATTTAATCAGCACTGTGTGTGCCATGTTGTAGGGCTGTGCAATTAATCGTATTTTAATCTCGATTACAATTTTGGCTTGCAACGATTACGAAAACAAGGTAATCGAAATAAAACGATTATTATTTTTATAAAAAAAAAAAAATGTAATTATTCTTTTTTAATTATTTGTAATAATTGTATTGGTTTTTCAGTTTAATTATACTTAAGGTATAAAAAACATACTGTTAACATTTTAACAGTTTTCAAAGTAAATGGATAATCGTTTTTAGTAATCGTGATATCAATTATTCACCAAAAGAATTGTGATAATGATTTTTGCCATAATCGCACAGCCCTACCATGTTGTATCATTCTCTTCGATGCTTGCTTATGATATGGCCTCTAATACTTCGATGTATAGATATTAATGACGAAAAAAGACCAAAACACAGCAAAATGAATAAAATAAGAGAACATTTGAGCAGAGGTCTCTCGGGTCTCTGCAGATACACACAACACACACTTCTAGTAAGTGATCATTTGAAGTAATCACACACTGTTGTATAGGAAATACTTTCTCACTGTGCCGTGTAAACACAGAAGAATTAAACCCCGCTGTCTGATACCTGTGTTCACTTGAGACGACACGCCTTAATAAAAGAGGACTTAGGGTGTTTGTGTCTCTCACCGGGGGATTCTGAATGAGCACAAAAGCTGCGGGGCTTACTGAACGTGGGCTGAATCCAACACGGGATAGAAAACCCTGTTGTGCCCTCGGGCCGAGCGAGTAAACACCGCAGTGCTTTGCATACAAGATGCGGAGGATTACTGCATGGTGACGGAGTGAAGAGTCTCTGCTCTGAGGGTGGAGGTGATGATGGGTGGCTCTGTAAGAGTGGGAATACAGTGAGTGGAAATATTTTGTTGTTCACTTCTGCAAGAGATCTTTTTAAGTGTAGGATCAGGTTCTGAAAAGATCTGGATTAGGATCAGTTTCGGCTTTTTAATAGGGTTTGTCTTTTTTTGTATGGAGGAATTAGGCAAGATTAATTTTCTGCACAATTCAACAACAAGTGCTTTACAAAATATAGGAAGTATTAAAAAGAAACTGTGAGGGTTAGGGGCAGAGGTCAGAGGTCAGACAACCAACGTTTTTTACGAGATTATGTTCGAGACTTCTTTGTTGACATTGTTTTAGGGTGCAGGAAGTTTTCATACTGATACTTTACTCTGGATATGGTTAGAATCTCAATTGGGTTTGATTTTGATATGAAGGAATTATAGGCAAGACTAGTTTAATTCAACAACAAGTCAAGTGCTGTACAATAAATATTAGAAGTATTAAGGTATATTGCAAAAGACTATATGAGGGTTGAATTAAGGGGCAGAGGTCAGACCACCAATGTTTTTTTACTGGATTATGTTCAGGACTTCTTTCTTGACATTGTTTGAAGGTGCAGGAAGTTTTCATACTGTCCAGAATCTCAATTTTTTTTTTTTAATACAGATGCAAAGCCTTGTTCACATGTTGCTTTGGTGAAACCATTTCCCATATCAAAAAAGTTAATCTAATACAATGCTTTACTAAGGTGTAATGACACATTAACATTCAATGGATGTTGTCTTCTTGCTTTTGTTGTTGCTAGACGCGTCCTTACGTGCCAGGTCATAGTCCAAATCGATGCATCCACTGACTCTTTTTCACAGCTTCAGTTTCCTAAACCTTAATATAATGTCTTTCAAAATGCCTGTTTAATGTACAATGTAGTCAATATGCTCAACGACAGACTGTGTGATGACATATTTCCCTTGCATACGTATAAGAATAGGAAAAAACATCTTATAAATGTATGAATGTACTCTTAAATATTCAAGCTTTAGTTTGGTTGGGTAGAAATGACATTGATAACACAATACAAATATATTCAACTGTCCCTATCTTCAGCTCTTAAGGCAGCAGTTGTTAATAAAGTGTGTGTGTGTGTGTGTGTGTGTGTGTGTGTGTGTGTGTGTGTGTGTGTGTGTGTGTGTGTGTGTGTGTGTGTGTGTGTGTGTGCACAGAGCTGTGTGTACGGGGAGAACCGGACCTCCATCCAGTGCTCCACCCCCTCTCTGGCCAAACTGGCCCTGCAGCCGCCCGTCGTCACCAAGATGGCGTTCGTTCTGGACGGATACCTAACGGATCAGTGGGACCTCATCTACGTGGAGGACCCTCACTTCCAGGACCCCAAACTCACCTCCAAGGACAACAAGAGCATCGTGGTGCTCAAGGTGAGACTACGAACATCCAGCTGTTAACTTTCATTGTCGTTTACTCTTACCCTAACGTTTGAAGAAATATCACAAAACAGCAGATTAGGTCAGAGTCAGAACGGCATCCTTTGGAAACATGTTGCTCAAGAAACAAAGGGCCAGAGAAACAGGTGCAGAAACTCAAGACTCAGAGTTGAATGTTGTAAAGTAAGAAAATCTCCATGTGTGAGCTGGAGCACATTTAGAAAAAGCTTCAGAAGTGCTTTGCAGAACAGAAGGAGCAAGTCATATACAGACACCCTGCAACATATTGTTTATTAATGGCAGTAATGACAAAGAAATTATGAATCTCTTGAATATTGTAAAGGATTTCCAATTGCTATATCAGTCAAAATAATCAAAATGAGGTATGTTTTTGACAAATTGCACAGTTAGGATCCAGGCAATGTTGGAAAAAGTATTATCTATACCAAATTATAATATTTGAAAAGTGTTTTCCTAAGTTTTGTTTGTCAAAATCTGAATTCTAGAAAATACATCTGTAAAATAAATGCAATGGAGTCAGAAGTGAAACATTCAAGGAGAGTAAAAGTGTAAAGTAGTATGAAATGAGAATGCTATGGTAAAGTACTCGTACCTCAGATGAGTACATGTACTTAGTTATTCTCCCCTAATAGACCCAGGTTCATGTTCACTCTCCTGCTCTCTGGCTCCCAATCCCCACGTTCACATGCAGTCGTCTATAGTCCGGGTCAAGTGTGGAAGGAAACAATACTGAAAGAAAAACAGGAAGTAAAGTCTGTTTCCCATCGTTTACCTTCCCCCCCCACCCCCCAACTTCTCCCTGTATTCTCTCTGTTGACTTGCATTGTTCTGCTGCGGGGTCGAAGCCCTTGACATCTTAACGCTGCGTTTCAAACCTCCCCCAGAGCCCGTTTTAGGAACACAATGCAAGACATATTCTTTCTTTCTTCCATTTTTCTGTTGACTGCTGCTGGACGGTTTGAGGCAGCTGTGCTGAAACCTCTCGCTCCGGGAAACCTCCTGCTTTTTTTTCCCAGACGTGACCTTGGCCCTGATGCTGAATCCACCAAAAACTCTTTCCCTCCCTCCTTCATCCCAGACAAGCCCCTCACCCAGAGGGGGAAGGTACCACAGGCATCTCACTGAAACCCATTTAACGCCATCCGATAACCCTGCCCTGCCATGGCCTCCTAAAGGAGAAAGCACTGGGCTCATTTAGCGCCATCTGATAACTCAAGCCCCAAAAATGGCTGCCGATAAAAGACAAATAAAGGAATATTTTGAGTGACAGCCCCCACCAGCGTGGCGGCGCTTAAAACGAGCCGTGGTGTTGGTTTTGGAGAAACGCCAGGCTCTTATCGCTGGAGATCGCTTTATGGGAGACTGTGAAGCATCCAACCTCCAATTAACTTCCCAACATTTTAGTGTGTGTGTGTGTGTGTGTGTGTGTGTGTGTGTGTGTGTGTGTGTGTGTGTGTGTGTGTGTGTGTGTGTGTGTGTGTGTGTGTGTGTGTGTGTCCCCCTCCCTCTCTGTGTAACAGGTGCGAGCGTCCACTCTGTGTCAAATTGGAAAATCCCGAGCTGTCACGCAGGGAATGCGATCGTTCTCTTTATTGCCTTCTGCTGCACTCAGACAAGTGTGTTTATGTGTGAGAGGCAGAGCTGAGAGGGCATGAGAAGAGAAAAACAAAAAGTGTGTGAGAGCCGAGAAAAAGGACAAATTAGGCTGCGATGTTCCCCTCAAACAACACACACTCTCTAACTCGGTTACACACACTCACGTGGACAAGCGCTGTGTGTGTTTCCAGTCAGATCTCAGTCAGAGGGGGGGTGTGTTGTCATCCCACTGGAGGTCACATGACTAGAATACACTGCTCTGTGTTACTCATATTAGGAAGCAGCAAACTTTATTATAAATACTATGAATTATTATTAAATCTGCCACTATTTGCTCCACTCATGGACTTTTCTAAACTGTTTTCCTACACATTTTAAATGAGTGCTAGTGCATTAGTCTAAATGAACCTACATCTTTTAAAGAGTCCTCCTGCTGATGTTCAGGTGTATATCAGTATGTAGTGTCTCTACTTTAAAGAGTCCTCTCCTGCTGATGTTCAGGTGTATATCAGTATGTAGTGTCTCTACTTTAAAGAGTCCTCNAGACTGCTAGAACAGTGCTTCTCAAAGTGTGGTCCGCGGACCACTGGTGGTCCGTGAGCGCCCCCTAGTGGTCCGTGAGTATATTGGTAACATTTCACATTTTAAATAAATTAATTCATTTAAGTTTTTCCGCACTCTCGCGGGAATATCTCGAGCTTAAAGTGGAGCTATCATGCTATATTTGAATAATATATTGTAGGGCCATACCTATATAAAACATGTCAGCGAAGTTTTTTTTTCAAAATACCAAACAGATCATGCATTTTAGCCATGCCTCATCTCGCTCTATTTGCTCTTTTCCAGCCCTGTTTGTGCAAGGGCTGATTCTGAGAAGTCTTCTTCGCTGCTTTTGTGGAAGACTACAGCGCCACCTACAGGCATGGCGTACTACAGCGTCTCCAGCGCTTTCGAACGGCAATGGTCGTGGCTATCTCCTCCTGATAGGTGGAGAGTTGCCCATATAGGCGGAGCTCCTCGTTCCTGATGTCAGAGAATTTTCAAATCTGGATCATAGAGATTATTATCTAATATATGCATCCAATGAAGTATTGCATGAAGTCTGTTGATGACCAGAGGCTGTTGTTGGGGCTGCATAAACGGTTTTTTATTTGTTTTTGTAGGCAGACCATGCAGGCCAGCCCAATGGTCACCAAGGTTCATGTTTTAATAGCATTTCTACCAAAAAAAAGCCCACACGAGCCTAACATGTGAAAAAATTGCTTAGACCTCAGAGAGTTAAACTTAGGCCTGCAACCATATAGTTTTACTGTATTTTGATTTGAAAATCCACAGCGGAGGCTTGTCAAATGGTTTTGAATAAAAATCAAATACAGTAGTCCAGAATGAGTGGAGGTTGGGGCATGTCCAGAATTGGTGTGTAAGGTTGATTCTTACATGTGTTACATAATGCTGATATGCTGGGATACATCTTGTTTACTTTAACTTTTGAGTAGTGCAACCTATGTACAACTTGAAATTGTATCAGATTGAATCTAACATTTACTGAGCACCGGTGAATATTCCTAAGACATGTTTCCCAAAATTCCTCAGTGATCGGCATACCCATTTCTGTCTCCCACTCAGTTCTATATTTTTCTGTGCTTACTTACTTCCTGACTGACTAAGTGTCTGGCATAGGGTTGACACTGCTCCTCTACATCCACGTCCGGATCCAGCTCCGGATCTGTAGATATCGAAAAAAGTGTGAGGCCGGGAGATCGTATTTGTTCTTCAATTGCTCAAAGGACATCAAGTGGCCCCCCTGGTACAAGTCCTGCAAGCACTCCACTCCCTTCTCCTTCCAGCGAGCAAACGCAGAATCCACGCTGGCCGGTCTAAAGGCGAGGTTGCCACAGATTGGGCTGTCTATGTACATATTTGGGGCTTTCAAGTATGTTTTAATTTGTTTCCATATTTTAAGAGAATTGTGTACCAGAAATGTCCCTGCATATAGCAATGTATTAGTCTTAACTGGGCTGTTCAGAAGGGCTGGGAGAGAAGTTCCGAGACAGGCTGCCCGTTCTATAGAAAGCCAGGCTGGAGTGTCCTCCTCTGTGCCCTCAGTGAGGATACACCTTCTCCAGAAAGCCAGAATGTTTAAATGTGCTGCCCAGCAGTAACATCTAACATTTGGTAGAGCAAACCCTCCCTCATATTTAGCTTTCCAAAGGTGTTTCTTGCCGATACGCACCGCTTTATATTTCCAGATGAAGGCGGTTTGAATAGAGTCTAACTTCTTAAAATAGCCTTGTGGTATACATGATGGGATTGACTGGAAGAGATTTGTAAATCGTGGGAGAACCACCATCTTAACTGCGTTTACTGTCCCAACCAGTGACAGAGTGAGAGTTTTCCAGAAGTCTATGTTCTGCTTCAGCTGGGTTATTCTCAGTTTCCAGTTCTCCTCAAGTAACCGTTCGGGTTTCCTGGTGACTGTCACCCCCAGGTAAGTGAACCTGTCCTCGGCTATCTTAAAGGGAACATATTTCAGTGTGGAGCTGTTCTGGTTCAAGTACACTGGCATTAATTCACTCTTATCCCAGTTTATTTGAAACCCTGAGAAGGAGCCAAAATGGTTAAACAGCTCCATAATTAAGGGCATAGATTCCTGTGGTTTTGACACATATAGCAAAATGTCATCCGCATATAATGACAGTTGATGATTCCGGGATGTAACGGAGACAGGTGATATTCTCGGGATGCCGTCGTATACTTGTGGCTAGTGGCTCAATGGCTAAAGCAAATAAAAAAGGTGAGAGGGGATCTCCCTGTCTAGTGCCACGGTATAGTGAGAACTGGGGGGAGATATTCTGGTTAGTGATTACACTAGCTGTGGGATGAGCATACAAAATCTGTATCCAGTCAATGAACCTCTTCCCAAAGCCAAATGTCTCAAGGGTCACATACATATATGGCCACTCGACCAGGTCAAAAGCCTTCTGAGCGTCCACTGAAATCACAACTGTCTCTGTATTGTGCTCAGCATATAGTATGTTGAATAGGCGTCGTAGGTTGAAATAAATATGCCTATTGGGAATAAAGCCTGTTTAATCGGGGTGTACACAATCGATCTGGATATAAAGACTTCCATTCGGTTAGCAGCTAGAATTTTGCTAATCAACCATTTGTTTCATTAGGGATACAGAGATGACCAGGAATCTGTAAGATGAGGCTTCCAGCTCATTCCCAGGCCCCTATTTTTTCAAGATCAATGAATATTTGCATATATAAGAGCGTTATGAGAGCAGTCGGAAAACACATAATTGACGCTGCGCTGTTTAAACTAACGAGGGAGAGAGACGCACGAACAGGCAGTGGATAGTATCTTAGAGACAGCCTATGTAAAATTCTATAGTGAATCGTCAGGGCAGGTGCCTTATGTATTTGGAGATTCACTAATTGCTCTTTATTATGTCTCTGTCGATAGAGAATGTCTGTCGTCTAGATCCGCCTATTGGCTGTACACCATGTGGAATGAGGCAAGTTCAGATCAGAGAGAATGAACTTAATTGCGATCTGGTATCCCGATTCCATTGACTTATACAGAATTCTGAATAGAAATGATCACAGTGGAAACGTGCATATATATTTCTTTAGGGCAGATGAGAGACCAGGCCCATTGCTCTGAATTATTATTCTCAAGAATTGCCAACCGGGAGGCATTCGTGCCTGTCTCAGCTTGTCGTAGCCGGCAGTTTCCGTGAGGTTTGTCTCCTATTTCAATTGCGTCTGATTTATATTCTGTTCATGACTGTTTACTAACCTGAGTGGATACATTGTGTGTATTCATCTCTTG